TCAGAATCAGGCTAAAGCGCATAACCAACATCCATACACTCCTGCAAGCTCCTTAGTTCCTGAAGATTCCTTCTTGAGCCGCATACGGATTCGGTGCTTTCAGTAGTATGGGCCTAATACTACCTTCCACACCAACCCATATTTGTCTCAAGTTGTCCTCTCAAGACCCTAAGTCACAAGGACTCTATTTCTCAAGATCAGCTATACACTCGCCCCGCTAGTTCCTCATAACAACTACTAAGCATCTAGGTACTTAGTATAGACGCTCCCCAACACTACTCCGCCTCACAAGATCTCTACTATCCTCGCCATTTGCTTTGTGCATGACAATCGTTCACAATACGAGACCCGATAAACATTCGAATAAAATGATTCTACATCAAATTCACAACCAAACAAGGAACATGAAGAAAGGCTAAACCAGGCATTATAAGGCTATAAAATCCTATTTATATACAATTATGCAACATATACCAAGCAAATAACAATGATAGATTCAATCTTATAAGAGAAAACTCCTAGGCTAAAGGCATAAAAAATCAGGCAACCCTATCACATCTTTCCTATAGGATCCTTAGCCTATCACTAGAATGCAATTCTATCAGTTTTTAAGATATCAACTTTACACTACTTATAAAATAATTCGAGATGTTTTGGGAAACTACCGCACGAGCTCTGGCTGATTGTACACACTGCTTCATTGGATTTTTATCTCCTGTAAATTTTTTCGTTTATTTGAAAAGTCTTTATGAAAATCTTCAGATCCTTAGTTTTAGTTTGGAATTCCCCTAGAGTTCATCCAAATCCCTCAAACCATGGCTATGATACCAAATTGTAACACCTCAAATTTCAACCAATTGTTTTTTCATTTTTAATTTACCCAAAATATTGTTCACAAACTGACCATCAGAAAATCGCAAATATCAAATACAAAACATCACTTCAAATATCAAAGTGCCACATAATGCCCAATAACAAATCTCCTAACGAGTGTGTACAATTATAGATTCGCTTTCCCGCGATCCTCAGAAGTACCTGCAACAAATATAATCAACAACTGTAAGAACAAAGTTTAGTGAGTTCCCCAAAATACCACACACAACGCAACACAAATAAACAACTATGGGTTAACAACAACCCTGGAGACTACCCGAAGTCTCAGTGGGCAAATCGTACGCCCTGTGGGTTATCAACAACCCTGGAGACTACCCGAAGTCTCAACACATACGCAGTAATAACACTTAGACCCAACTGATCATCATATGTAAATATATACCGCTATTCTACCATACAAGTAAGAATAAGTGAGGAGACTCACTTGATACTGATGACTGGTAAATCTCACTCCCGAACTGCCGGAACTAGACTCCGCCTAATAAACACAACAAGTAACCCTAGTCAATTAGGGTCATAACTCGACTCACAAGTCCAAGTCCCACAACTACGCCCCTAAATGGAAAAAGACCATTCTGCTCTTCCATGGTCCAAAACCCTAAATCTTTTAACCAAAAGTCAAAAGTCAGCAATAGTCAACAAGTCAACCTTCGCGTCCATATGCAAGGCGTACACTTCCTACGTAGGGCGTACAACTCGAGTCAGCAACATCGGGGACAGGCCTGGCTGTGCGGAGCGTAGCCAAGAGTACACCCAACATACTCTGCCTGGTCCCACATCCCAACTTTTATGTATTAATCCTTTAAGACACTTATCCCAACTTCAGATCTGACCACTATAGAATATCTTAACTCATAAAGTCACTGACTTTAAGCCTTTGCATGGCTAGATAGGGCTCAATACACAAAACCTTAACTTCTACAACACTCTAAGTCACTTAACTCATGCTTGGGCCAAGGGAAACGATCAAGCTACCATTTTTATGAATCAAGGCACTCTAAAACATCTAAAAGGACATCTAAAATGCTCTGGTGTAATCCGTACTCACAAAGGTCCAAGCTTTGGGACAAAAAGTTCATAAAAACCTATCTAAAGAGATCTAGAAAGAACATTAGCGAGGTATGGACTTTATACCTTCAAAAGATGCACAAAGCGAGGTAATTTCCAGATCTACAACCTTGCATGCAACGCCACCTTCTTCAATGGTCTTATTCTTCAACAAGAAAACATCAAAATCACCAAAAGCTTCAAAATCTTCACACACAAGGACGAGACTCGAGATTAGGATTTGGAAGGAGTGGAGACTGACTTTAGAAGGCCCAAGGAAGGTATAAGGTTGTTTAAATAGGAAACAAACCCTAAATTTTAGGGTTTAAGGTCTGGGCTAGTATGCGCCGCGTGTCACACGGACGCCTAGCGTACTAGGGGGAGTTCCGCGATTCCGAGTCTCGATCAGGTACGCGGAGCGTACCTCACGTACGCCCATCGTACGGTCTAAAGCACAACAAATTTCGACATAAGGACCAAAAATGTAAATACCTGAAAACCGGATGTTACAGTTGAGACGAAGAAAAAAAGTTCCCCTACGAGTTTCATGAATAGTAGATTGCAAATGATGATGAGTAATCTATGTGGTGTTTATTTAATTAAATGTTACATTTTAATTAAGTTATGTTATGTAATTCTATTAATGTTTTGTGACCCTTTATCATTAATGAAAACATGTGTTTTGCGAATTTTTAATAACACAAAAAAGAACTTATCGGAAATGCACAATTAAAAGTCTTTCCAATAAATAACAACATGATTGAAGTTCCTACGAGAAGGTATTTCAGTTACATGTTGGGAAAACACTTTGATTTTAGCAGTACGACTTTTGAATTTCGTAGTCAAAATGACAAGACAACATATGAAAAAAAAAATTATGTGTCACCTTTCGCTGGTGACGTCATTATTTGCAGGTCATAGGTATATTTTCGTAGTCTAACCCCAAGACAAGGGCGTTTAAGAAAAATTGCAAATGACATCTATATATATATATATATATATATATATATATATATATATATATATAAAAAGTCAATATGCAATTTTATAATTATAACAACTAACAGCATTTTAATAAAAAATGATGGGTACTCGAAGGAGACTTTGACTTTAATTATAAGTGCAATTAAATTAATAAAAAACAAAATATAAATTCAAGCAATACAATACAATGAACAAACCAAGATTTAGGTACGTTTGGAATTGCTTATTTAGAATGTTTATTTATTTATTTTGGTTTGGTTTGACATGACAATAATGAGTTTTTAGTATTTTCGAAATCCATAAACACTTTTATTTCGAAAGTGATTCGAATATCGGCAAACTTATAAGATAAAAAAAGGGATAATGACTTAAAAGGGTAATATATTTTTTGATTTGTACATATTTGGTCAATGAGTTTTTTTTTCGTCCATATTTACCCCTTAAACTTGTTAAACTGTATACATTCAGTCCTTATGACCGGCTACTACAAATTACCCGGTAAAACTGACTTAATAGGGTAATATATTTCTCACTTTGTACACATTTACTCCTTTTTTTTTTTTTTTTTTTTTTTTTTTTTTTTTTTTTGCAAAATAAGTCATTTTTTTTGCTCATTCAGTACTTATGAATGATTTTTTAGTTTTTTCTCACGAAATCTTACGTGGGACATTCATTAATGAGGTGTATGGGGCTTTTGATGCGTATATCCATCGCGATCTCGACTATTTGGTTGCTTAGGTCATGTATTCTGAACGTCATAACTTCTTCATATGATCTCAGATTTTAACGATCTTTATATCCATGCGTTCGTATTTTAGTCTACTACAACTTTCATTTAGATTACTCCCATTAAAAAATAATATATTTTTACTTAGGATTTTTATATCCATACGCGGTGGCAGATTTAGTATGGTCCCGGTGTTGCACCGACAACACCTGTTTTTTCTGTTCGCAGTGGAAAATTTTTCGCTTTTTTTTTTTTTTACGTTTATACCTATTTTCCATGTATCGGCAACACCTATTTCATCTCGGCAATACGTACTATGTATTACTGCGTCTTCCCCCGTCTATACGTTTTTTTTGAATGCATGTATGTATGTTTTTTAAAAAATCGTTAGTAAAAATATATTACATTTTAACGGGAGTAATCTTAATGAAAGTTGTAGTAGACTCAAAAAATGAACACGTGGATAAAGATCCTTAAAATCTGATATCGTATGAAGAAGTTACGATGTTCAAAATACAAGACCTAAGCCAAACCACAAGACTTACGCAACCAAGCAGTCGAGATCGCATTGGACATAAGCATCAACAACCCCGAGCACCTCATCAATGATTGTCTCACGTAAGATGTCGTGAAAAAAACCTAAAGAAATCATTAATAAGTACTGAATGAGTGCAAGAAAAGGACTTATTTTGAAACAAAAAAAATGTTAAGGACTAAATATGTACAAAAATATTAAGGACTAAATGTGTACAAAATGAAAAAATATATTACCCTATCAGTCAGTTTTTTCCGGCTAACCGGGTAACGGAGTCAGGTCATAAGGACTAAATGTGTACAGTTTAACAAGTTTAAGGGGTTAAATGTGGACGAAAAAAAACTCAGTGACCAAATGTGTACAAAATGAATAATATGTTACCCTTTTAAGTCATTATCCCTAAAAAAAAATCCATAAACACTTATTGATTTAAATAATATTTTTTGATAAAGTAATTTCATACTTATTTATTAATTTTATTTAATGAGTTTTTGATACCTTGTTTCATTATTAGATATAAAATAAGAGTTTGTCAACATTAAAAATAATTTATCAATTAAATAAATTAATTTAAACATTTTTTATAAACTATATTTTAACATCGAATAAACTAATAAACATTTTTATAAAAACTCTATTAGTTGTTTAAGATAATTATCCCAAACACCCCTTTATAATCTGTCCTCCTATGACTCTCATAAGACACCTCTGTTCTATAGAAATTAAATTAGAAACTAGAAATATAAAATAATTTATTCCCAAAACAAATTACATAATAACCAGAAATTCAAGATAAAATATAAAACAAAGGTTCCGCCAATTGCCACCGCACCACACGCATTCGCCTTTCTCCATCAAATACATTTACAACACACCCCGTTGTCTTCCTCGATAAACAACACCCTTGGATTTTCAGATATCTTTCTTGATTTTTTTCAATCCTCTCTGTGTTAATATTCTCCATCCACCCCCAAATTAAAATCACTTATCATCCACAGATTATTGTTTTAAACAAAAATTGGAAGGAAGAAGAAGAACGCCGGAATGGTCAAGAAAAGGGTATCAAGAGTCGGCAGTTATGCCATTTCGTCCGCCATTGCAGACCCTAACTGCTTTTCATGCTCAACCTTTAACATCCTTGCCCCCATCTATAAGCGCCTAATTCACGAGGTAAAACCTAGACATGTGTTGTTTTGTAAAGTATTTTGCAAAATCGATCGGGTTTTGCGTATTTGCATTTTTTTTATTAAAGAAAATGTTACTTGGGTTTGTTCGTTGGAGGATTTTGCATTATCTTTAATGTTGTTGGGGTTTTGATTGTATCTGGTTTCTTGTGGTGGTAAAACAGGATCATGCTTGCAGAGAAAGTGAAATCAGAGCGTATTGGTTGAATAGGAATGAAGGGATTTTGGATCTGCTATTGTGCGAAAAATCTTCCATAATCTGTCTTCAGGTTCCAATAAATCTGATGTTGTTTAAAAATATATTTGTTTGTATGTATGAGATTATTTATTGATGTTATTGGGTTGATACAGGAGTTTTGGGTTGGAAACGAAGAACTTGTCAACATGTATGACACGAGGCTTGGTGATGCAGGATATATCAATTTCAAGCTTGCACGCACCAACAATCGTGGTGATGGTAAGTTATTAGTCTTATTATCGTCAAGCAATAGTAGTTTATGCTTCTTGATGATAGCAGTATCAGTATCACTATGTTGATTAAAGGTAACTCACTCTGATATCTTTGGAGACATGGAATCTATTGCACTCTCTCTCTCTCTCTCTCTCTCTCTCTCTCTCTCTCCAATCATACAGTTTGTTTGTCCAATTGCAATTTGTTTATGATTATGTTTGTAAGTGGGAAAAAAAGATTCTGGTACATGAATAGCGCCAAGGAGGAGAGGCTGTTTCTTTTTGGAAAACAGAAAACTTGTCTGCACTGCAGAACAACATAAAGTAATCAGATCTTGTCTGCAAAATAAGTGATTGTTTTGGGTTAAAGTAGATGATGGTGTGATTGTTATCTTCTTGTGTTACTATTAAAATAAAGGTGATTTTTCCCCTACTACGAAGAAGTAAGAAGTTTGTGTTGTATAACAATTAACAGGTCTATTGACAGCTGTGCATAAAGACTACTTCCGGGTGATAGACCATCGGGAGTTCCTGTTCAACGATTTCGGAGACCGTGTTGCTCAGCTTTTACATGTTGAAGTAATTGCAGCCTTCACCGGGACCCAGTGCAGAAACAGTCAAGAAATTCTCATAGTTAACACCCACCTGTTGTTCCCACATGATTCAAGCATGTGTTTGGAGAGACTGCGTCAGGTAAACCTATGATACATTACGTTATCTTTCTGTTGATGCTGATAGTGATATTGGCTGGGTGTAATGTAAATAGGTATACAAGATCCTGCAATCTGTGGAGGCTTATCAGAAAGAAAACAGTCCTAGTCCTTTGCCCATCATTCTGTGTGGGTAAGTAAGTTTGTAAGTGTTTTAACTTTTAGTATAGTAATCTTGATGTGTTTGTTGTTTGTTTGTAAAGTGATTGGAATGGGAGCAAGCGAGGTCATGTTTACAAGTTCCTAAGGTCACAGGGATTTGTATCATCATATGATACTGCTCATCAATACACTGATGCTGATGCACATAAGGTCGGTCCACTTCCACTCATATTTTTATTTTTATTAGAAAATAAATAAACAAATGCTCATGGATGGCATCCTGCACAGTGGGTTAGCCACCGAAATCATCGAGGAAACATATGTGGTGTGGATTTCATTTGGCTTCTAAATCCAAACAAGTCTAGGAAAGTACTCAAAACAAGTTGGAGGGATGCGGTTTTTGGGCTGTTGAAGGTTTTCTATTTATTTATTTATTTATTTTTTGTTTTCAAAGTTTCTTGTAGCTTTCACTTTGTGATTGTTTTGATATATGAAAGAAAGTCGGTAACTCATAGATGTGAATGTGATGTGGGGATTCAGTATCAGTATATATATATGATGCGTGCCTCATCATCGCTTTCTGATGCTGGCTGCCATTAAGCAGCGACTGTGAGTGACTTATCTCTAATCTTTCTGATGCTTGGAAGACATTACTATCATATGATATGTTAATAATAATAATAATAATAATAATAATAATATGCTGATATCAATCATGCATGACTCATCTCTATTCTCTAATGAAGAAGCCTCTTTCTGTTTTCAGTATCATGTGCGACGAGCAAGAGCCTCCCTGACTGAAGCAGATGATGCCTTTGCATTTCTCAAGGCTGATTATATTACTTATTTGGGTTTCTGTGAGGCTTTGCGCAAGGTACATTATTATTATTATTATTATTATTATTATTATTATTATTATTTTCTACATGTTTTCCATCGGGAATGGTAATCTTTACAACTGCTTTGCTTTGCTTTGTTTTTTGTTGCAGCTTAATTTTATTGGTCATCCGTATGGCCTGAGTAAGGAGGAGACAAAAGAGCTTTGGGTTCAAGCAGACCCTGATGGCAATGGTGTTGTTGATTATAAAGAATTCCAGGTAGGTACAGAATTTGGTCTCTGTTATTAATAATCTGTATCTGTATATATAATTAATAAATTGGGGGTTTGGCAATAATTGGCAAAGCAGCAGAGAGTATGGAATCCTACAAGTACAAGGTGCGAGGAGGAAGAGGAAGAGAAGAAGAAGCTCTATTAGGGTACAGTGTGAAGAATGCAGTCCTTTACCCAACTGAAGCAGAAAAAGGAATGTGGCCGGATGATTACTCACTCTCTGATCATGCCCGCCTCACTGTCGCCTTTTCACCTGTTTATACAAATATAACTTCTTCTTGATTCATATTCTTCCACATCCACTTTAACTTTTCAACCCAACCCAACCCAACCCAACCCAACCATTGGTTTGGTGGTTGATCGAGTCCTGATGAGCATACACATTATGGTGATGGATTTTTATAGTCACCACCAATTGCTGCTAATATATATTACATAGTATATGTATATATGATTTCTTTGTTACATTCCCTCATTTGTATAAACTGTAATATTACCTTGGCAAGTTGGCATGGCATAGGAAAACGTAGATCCAAAACTTATCAAACTTGTATGCCAATATGCAATGCACAGGTTGAACGGAGTATTACTTTTATGAATTTATCAACTGCTAAAACTAATTTTCCAACTATGGATCAAAATCATTATATTTAATAATGGTGAATAAATACAAACACACCACACGCACAATAATTTCATTTTATATCCGTTGGTTATCATTTACATAAGTTTATGGTATTTTAAAATTATTTTATTTTGTGTTCAGAATGATAAAACTATATTTACCCTATAAAGTTTAATCATATATCACATGCTGAATCAAATTGGGAGATGTAGTTTGATCACATCCTTAAGTAGGCGTGGTTCCATGATACAAATATGTTGGGTTATAGTCCATCAATTCCAATTTCCACATCAGTTAAAATGAAGATGGAGTGTCTTGTTTGACTTTCATTAGTCAACAAAAAGGAGAGATTGGTGGAATACACGTTTAAGAATGCAAGGCTGTGGATACAATACAACCTTTGTTACTTGAAAGTCTCCTCTGTATCTGGTTGTGGCTTCATATATATACAAACATCATGTGCAATCGTTTGGGGAACATCCATTCCACAAATACGCTTCATCTGAGAGAGATAAAGACACACACATACACATGTTAGAGGATAAAATTGTAGCACTTGTATTTCCGTGTAATCATTTTGTAATTATTTATCTTTTGTTTGTGATCTGTAATCTTAGATCTAGAAGACTGTATTTGTTTGACGACGAAGAAATAAAGGAAAGAAATCGTTGTGTTTGTTCCGTTTGTTTTCTTTTATGCTTTACATTTCAGTTTCTGAAATTTGCATGCTCACTTGATCAATGTTCATATCGTATGTTCTTAATCGATTAATGTTGACATGCTCGCAAGAGAAATTGTTTTACGCTTCTGGTTTGTGGAAAATTCTTGAATCAATTTGATCTTAAAATTGATTAGTTCTTGATTCTCTAATTTCTAGATATAACAATTTGATCTTACATCCAACATGTTTAAACTATGTTATGTTAATAATTGTTATTAATTGATTTTAGTATTTTGTTGGATATTGAGTTGTTTGTTTAACTCTAATTGTAATTACATTATGCTACTTATCTTCCATAGATGAAAATCGTTTTGTATAAGTTTTTTAGAAAGTTCTCGTACGTTTTAAATCCAACAAATGGAAAATCTTCTACAAAGTATGAGGTGAAAAAGCTCACTCATAAAAATGACTTTGGCCTTTGGATGATGAAGATAAAAGCGTTGCTCAAACAACCATCTCTTTTATTTAATATTTGTCGGTTTGAAAACTTCTTTTGCGAAAAATACGGTCCCATAGTTGTGCGTACGAGGGTTACGTTGGGCGTACGAGGGGGTTACGTTGGGCGTACGAGGGGTTGGAGGAAACCTTAATTTTAGTGTGTTGCACCCTATATACGCTCCTAAAGTCCCTAGGGATGGCCTCTTTTGTAACACCCACAAAATTCAAGCCAATTTAAAACTTTTTAAAACCTTTCAAAACACATGATTATTACAAAACTTGTTTTCAAAATAGTATATTGTCAGAGTATCCCAGAATCAAATCATAAAATCATAAAATGTGAGGAGCGGTACGATCACGTCTTCGCCTTCCCGCCATCATCAGAAGTACCTGAAACAATAATTGATAAATGTAAGCTCGAAGGCTTAGTGAGTTACCCCCAAAATACCAACGCCATACAGATATAACCATATCATATGAACATATAAGCAAACAACATGCATAATGAGCCATCAGTCTGACTGGACCGAATCCCAGTCCTCAGTCTATCTGGACCGCTCTCCGAGCCCTCGGCATGTCTAGACCGCCCTCCTCAGGGCCTTCAGCCTATCCGGACCGCTCGCTGGGCCTTCGGCCTGACTAGATTTGTCCGGCCCGGGCCTGCAGTCTACCCGGTCCGCCCCAGGGTGTCTTGGCCTACTACACACAGCAGGACCTGCCTCAACCCTTTCCCCAAACCAACAAACATGTGTACATAAATATCATACGCTAGCATGAAATAACAGATAGTCATACGGATCTAACCGATCTCTAACATAGCAACCATCCTTAAACCAGGATGAAATCTAACATAGCAACCATCCCAAACCAGGATGTAATCTAACATAGCAACCATCCTAAACCAGGATAAAATCGAACATAACAACCATCCTAAACCAGGATGTAATCTAACATAGCAACCATCCTAAACCAGGATGTAAACCATAAAGGGGCGACCTTGGTGCCGTAGACCCTGTTGATATAGTGAGGAGAACTCACCTCACAAACGTCGCACTGAAGTGATAGACTCAACTCTCGAATCACCAACACGAACTCCACCACCTATAGTTACCATAAAACCCTTTTTCATAAATTTACAAATTACCAAAATACCCCCAGAGGTCAACTGGTCAACCCTTGGTCAAAGCCAAAGCCAACAGTCAAGGTCAACAGTCCAGGTTGACCCGACTCGTCGAGTGCAGTTTACCGACTCGTCGAGTCCTTCCTGAACTCGAGAAGTCGTGAAATCCTTGGTTGACTCGTCGAGTTTCCCTGCAACTTGCCTAGTTCATGCGTGTCCAACGGTTGGGGAAAAATCCTAGCCGACTCGCCGAGCCCAAGGCAATATTCATCGGACTCGCCGAGTTGTTCATCCAACTCGTCGAGTTCATGACCATCTGCATATGACTCGCCGAGTCGACCTTGCGACTCGCCGAGTCCCTTCAATCCTTCAACTATACAGATGCTTTTTAAGCCATGCTAAGGCTCCATATTATAGATCCAGCTTCCCAAGGCATGTTTATCACGTAAAGTTACAAACTTTACGTGAATGCAAGATGATAATGACCCAAAACAAGCTAATGAAGAGGTCCTAGACAAAAGATCTTCACCAACATGCTAAAGACTGAGACTTTATGATGATAAGAGCCAAGATGAGCCTAGATCTGAAGTTGCAACTTCAGATCTTGGTTCATCACTCGAAATGCAACACCAAATGCCCAAAATGGTCCTAAAACTCAAATATAGAAGGGGTCTAATTAGAAGAAGCTCAAGGTGATGACTTGATACCTCTAAATGGTTATAAACTGAGGTAGACTTCAGATCCCCAACTGTTCCTTGCTCCAAGCTTCTTGATCTTCAAACCTTTCCTCACCAAAATCCCTCTTCCAAGCTAAGAAGCACACCAATATAGAGAACAAGCACAAATTAGGGTTTCTGAATTCGAAGGGAGCATTAAGAGAGGCTAAGGGGAAATAAGTGATCCTTAAATAGGGTGCGAAACCCCGAAAATTAGGGTTTCATCCCCCAGCTCCTACTCGTCGAGTCCCTTCCTAGACTCGGCGAGTAGGTCACTAAAACACGTGGACCAACCCGCTGCTACTCGACGAGTAGGGCAACCAACTCGTCGAGTAGCCCTTGAAATCAAGAAAATTATTATATTAAATGAATACCTGAGAATCGGGGCGTTAAAATTCTCCCCACTTGAACTAGACTTTGTCCTCGAAGTCTGCCGCGGCGAGCAGCTCCGGATAGTGCTCCCGCATCTTTGCCTCTGGCTCCCACGTCCACTCGGACCCCCTCCGATGCTCCCACTGTACCTTCACTAAAGGTATCTCCTTGTTTCGCAGAACTTTCATCTTCCTCTCCAGTATGGCCACAGGCCTCTCCACATAATTCAGGCGCTCATCGACCTGAATATCATCCAATGACACCACTGCCTCCTGATCCATAATGCACTTTCGCAACTGTGACACGTGGAAAGTGCTGTGGATCCGACTAAGCTCCTCCGGTAGCTCTAACCTGTAAGCCACCTTGCCCACCCTGACAATGACCCTGAACGGTCCGATGTAGTGGGGACCCAATTTCCCCCTGTTCCTGAAGCGGATCACACCCTTCCAGGGTGAGACTTTCAGGAGTACCATATCGCCCACCTGAAACTCCAATTCAGATCGGCGCCTGTCAGCGTAACTCTTCTATCGACTCTAAGCGGTCTGCAGTCGCTGCCTAATCTGTTGAATTTTCTCGGTAGTCTGCAAGACTACTTCCGTCCGTCTCATCACCCTGTGTCCGATCTCACCCCAACAAACCGGGGTGCGACATCTCCGCCCATACAACAGCTCGAAAGGCGGAGCGCCAATGCTGGAATGGTAGCTGTTGTTGTAGGCGAACTCTGCAAGGGGTAGGTGGGAATCCCGGCTCCCACCGAAGTCAATAACACAAGCCCTCAACATGTCCTCGAGGGTCTGTATGGTCCGCTCGCTCTGATCGTCTGTCTGAGGATGAAATGTTGTACTGAAGTGCAACCGCGTGCCCAGCTCCTCGTGGAACTTCTGCCAGAAACGGGAGGTAAATCTAACATCCCGTTCGGAGACAATGGAGACCGGAACCCCATGGTGAGCAACGATCTCGCGGACATATATGTCGGCCAACTTCTCGGCCGATGAACTCTCCTGCATTGCCAAAAAATGGGCACTCTTGGTCAATCAATCCATGATGACCCATATAGCATCAAACCCCTTCGCCGTTCTCTGCAACTTGGTAATAAAATCCATCGTGATCTGTTCCCATTTCCACATGGGAATCTCCAGGGGCTGCAGCTTGCCATGCGGCCTCTGATGCTCAGCCTTGACCATCCTACAGGTCAAGCACCTCTCGACGTACCAAGCGATTTCTCGCTTCATGCACGACCACCAGTAGCTCAAACTCAAATCCCGGTACATCTTGGTGGCCCCCGGGTGAATAGAGAAATGAGACTTATGAGCCTCCTCCATGACTGTCTGTCTGACCCCACTAGACATCAGAACCCACACCCGGCCGCATCGGGTTAATAATCCCTGGCTATCCTGCATAAACAGGGTGTTCTCACCCCTGATCCTCTCCAGCTTCCAATTCTCTGGCCGCATGCCCTCGATCTGAGCATCTCTGATCAAACTCACAAGCGGAGAATCCACCGCTATCCTCATACATATCGCTGGGGTGGAATTCCCAGCTGACTTGCGGCTCAGAGCGTCCGCCACCACATTCGCTTTTACCGTTGGTGGGTATAGGATTTCGCAGTCGTAGTCTTGACTAA